GAGTCTGCGCACTCCGGCAATGTGATTGACGAGAACATTGCTCTTACTTAAAATCCTGGTGAAGAACCAAATGATATCTGATGGAAAACCAGCACCATGAGTTTAAAGAGCTTGCAATGGCTGCCATTTAGGAGCTCGGCTAAGTCCAGGTATTGATCATCAATGTATTATCTCCAATCTTCAATCAAAAGGAGGGAAAGATTTAGAAAATAATATTGGAATCATTATTCCCTGTCCTTGAGCATAGAGAATGTGACCCAGCTGGGCTGGGCCCACAGGGGCCCACAAGGACTCACAAGGACACATCAACTGGACCCTGAGATAAAGACAATAGATGGGGCAATCTTGGAAATTATCTTTTAAGGAAGAAAATATCTTTTAGGGAAATTTTCACATAAAACCAATCAAACAGAACACAAAAGACTTCTACTCTTATCTTTTTCTATTAGCATCCAGTGAATAGAAATTGGTTGGACCAATGAAGACCCTCAATTGCTGCAGATGCATGTGAAAGCTCGACAATGAAAAAGGAAGACCAGAGAAGAAGTGATGATTTCAAATTGTGGTGTTGGCAAAGAATACTGAATATACAAGAATGAACAAATTTGTCTTTGAGGAAGTACAGCCAGAATGTTTCTTAAAAGAGAGGATGGTGAGGCTTCATCTCACTTACTTGGGACACAACATTAGGAGGAACCAATTGCTGAAGGACATCATGCTTGGTAGAGGGTCAGCGAAAAAGAGGGAGATCAAAATGATACTCGTGAAGAGCATGCTTCTTAGCTCAAGTAGATAGATGAGACTAAATGGGCAACTTCTGTCCAAAGGTGAGATGAGAAGGCAGAGAGGGTTAGGAGCTGGTTGAATGGACATGGGAAATTGGGTGGAAAGGAGGAGTGTTCTGTCACAGTATAGGGAGAGCAATTAGGTCACATAACAATGTATGTATAAATTTTTGTATGAGAAACTAACTTGAAATGTAAACTTTCACTTAAACTACAACAGTAAACAAACAAAAATAAATTTAAAAAATCACCTATATGAAACCAAATAGTAAGGGGGCAGGGAAACTAGATTAATGAAAATGGAACAACCAGAACGAAAATGAAAAGTTCACACATTGTGAAGAATGTAACCAATGACACTGAACAACTTGTGCAGAAATTGTTGAATGGGAATCCAAACTGCTGGGTAAACCTTGACTGAAACACAATAAAATATTGTTTAAAAGAAAAACAGGGAGCTCCTCAATGAGACGAATTGACACAGTGGCTGTAACAATGGGCTCAAACATAGCAACAACTGTGAGATATACATAAGGTCACTATGAGTCAGAGTGAACTCAATGGCACCTAACAACAACAAAGGTCAGCTGAGCCAGGTGACGCAGCATCAGGTAGGGAGTTTGGATTGCATCACTTCTATTTTCTTTGGAAGCTTCAACCTTCTGTGTACAGCCATGGTCATGTTAAGAACATTAAATGATGATTTTGGTTGTTGTTAATGAACCACTCACCAAAAATCTGTTTCTAAAACATTTATGTAGCTTTCAGAATCTCCATACCCAGGTTACTTGAGAATGTCTGGAGCAGGACTGAAGTGACTCCAGTGTGCCCTCAAGCAAGGCTGGGAAACACTGTCAGAGGCAGAGCACCCACTTCATCAACACCCACGGACAATTTAGTGGGTATTATCCTTTCAACGGAGCCCTGGTGGCACAGTGGTTAAGAGCTCGGCTGCTAACCAAAAGGGCGGTTTGAATCCACCAGCCACTCCTTGGAAACCCTGTGGGGCAGTTCTCCTCTGTCCTATTAAGTCACTATGAGTCAGAGTTGACTTGACAGCAATGGGTTTTTTTTTTTTTTTTTTGGTTATTCTTTCAACTTACTGGAAGAAATCCATATTTGTGCCCATTCCATAAAAAGGCCATCAAATGGAATGGGGAAATAATTGAACAATATCATTAATACCACATGCTAGCAAAATTGTGCTGAAGATAATTAAAAAACGACTGCAGCCCTACATTGACAGGGACCTACCAGAAGTTCAGGCTGGATTTGTAAGATGATGTGGAATGAGGAATGTTATTGATGATGTCAGATGGATCTTGGCTGAAAGCGGAGAATACCAGAAAGATGTTTTATCAACTGCATGAAGGCATTCGACTGTGTGGATTGTTACAAATTATGAATAACATTTGAAGAATGGGAATTCTAGAACACTTAATTGTGCTCATGTGGAACCTGTACATAGATGAAGAGGCAGTCATTCAAACAAAATAGGGGCTACTGAGTGGTTTCAAATTGGAAATGGTGTGTGGCTGGGTTGTCTCCTTTCACTGTACTTATTCAATCTGTATGCTGAACAAATAATCCAGGATGGACTATTTAAAGAAGAATGAGGCATCAGGATTGGAGGAAGGCTCATTAACAATCTCCAATATGCAGATAACACAACTTTGCTTCCCCAAAATGAAGACGACTTGAAGGACTTACTGATTAAAGTAAAAGACTACAGCTTTCAGTATAGATTATGCTTGAACAGGAAGAAAATGAAAATCCTCACAACTGGACCAATAAACAGCATCATGATAAACGGAGAAAAAATTGAAGTTGTCAACTATTTAATTCGACTTGGATCAACAATCAAAGTCCATGGAAACAGCAGTCAAGAAATCAAAAGATGTATTGCATTGGGCAAATCTTCTTTTTAACGTTCTAAAAAGCAAAGATGTCACTTTGATGATTAAGCTGCACCTGACCCAAGCCATGCTATTTTCAGTCTTCTCAAATGCATGCAAAAGCTAAGCAATGGAAAAGGAAGAGTTGTGGTGTTGGCAAAGAGTAATGAATATACCACAGACTGCCAGGAGAACAAACAAATCAGACTTAGAAATGTTAAAAATAAAATTTCCACAAGATTAAATTCGTGTATGAATTCATAAGCTTTATTTGCAACTCATGAATTGACGGGTGCCTAGTCTGAAACTCAGACAATGGCTCCAAAGGACAAGTGGAAGAGACCAAAGTTATATGGGCAAAGTGGTGTAAGAGTATGGAAGTACATTGCTGGGCAAAAAGGGATTGATTAGTTCTAAGTTACTTTCCTTATATGGCATATTGGCACTATAGCTGAGGTGGCAAGCGCAGATTGGATGATTTAGGTTTCAACTCCTGGGAAAGTCAGGCATTTACAGGAAATAAAAGCTAGTTAGGTTTTGGCATGCTCACGTGGGGCTTAGCAAAATTGACTTCATCTTGGGACTAGGACAGTTAGGTTAACAGAAGAAACACAGAATGCTCCTTAGAAGTGAGAATGGCCAGACTTTGGCTCACTTACATTGGATACATCATCAGGAAAGACGAATTGCCAGAAAAGGACATCTGTTTGGTAAAGTAAAGGGTCAGCAAAAAAACGAGGGAAACCTTCAATGAGATGGATTGATACAATAGCCACAACAATGGACTCAAACATACCAATGACCATGAAGACGGCACAGGACCTGGCCATAGGTCCTCATGAGTCGGAGCCATAAAAAAAAAAAATCCGTTGCCATTGATTCCCACTCATAGGGCCCCTATAAGACAGAGTAGAACTGCCCCATAGGGTTTCCAAGGAGTGGTTGGTGGATTCGAACTGCAACCCTTTGTGGTTAGCTCTTAAACACTGTGCCACCAGCGCTCCGAGTTGGAGCCATAGAAACTAAAAACAAATACTCAGGTGAGTCCTCCATTTGAAAACTGAGATGGGCGCATGGCGACTGCTTTTAAGAAGTCCTGACCATAAGAAAACGAGAGCATTTCCCAGTTGCATTAAATAGTCTGGAAAAACACCATCGGGTTTGGGTTGGGTTGGGTTTAGTTAATATAGAATAAAGACAAACGCGTTGCCGTCGAGTGGATTCCGACTCATAGCGACCCTATAGGGCAGAGTAGGACTGCCCCATTGAATTTCCAAGGAGTGCCTGGTGGATTCGAACTGCCGACCTTTTGGTTAGTAGACGAAGCTCTTAACCACTGCAAGCAGGGTTTCCAGAATAAAGACAGATTAGATGAAACCATGAAAGGGCTTTTAAAATACACTAGGAAGGGGGCGGAGCCAAAAGGTCAGCAGTTCCAATCCACCAGCCGCTCCTTGGAAACCCTATGCAGCAGTTCTGCTCTGTCCTATCGGGCCACTATGAGTCAGAATCCACTGGACCACAAAGTTTTTTTTTTTTTTTTTTAGGAAGGGAGCGGAGCTACGCTGGGGGACAACGCTCAGGAAAAGCGGGGAGAGGCGGGGCAAAAGCGGCAGGGGCGGGTCCTGTGGGCGGGGCGTAGTCAGAGACTGCATTTCTATGGCTGCTGGAAGGGGGCAGAGCTAATCTGGGGGCGGCCCCCTGTGGGGGGGAAGTGTAGAGGGGCGGGGCTGAGGCGGTAGGGGCAGGTCCCATGGGCGGGGAGGAGTGGTAGTCGGGGACTGCAGCTCTGTGGCCCCTGGAAGGGGGCGGAGCTATGCCGGGACGGGGTGTGGGTGTAGGGGTGGCAGCTCAGGGACGGGGGTGAGGCTGAGGTGGAGGGGCCATGCGTGGGCCAGGTGAAGCGGGGAGGGGCTGAGGCGACGGGGACGGGTCCCAAGGGCGGGGCTTAGTGGGCAGTGGAACTGTGTGGCGTCCGGAAAGGGGCAGAGCTATGCTGGAGTAGGCAGATACGGGAGCCGGTGAGGGGCGGGGCTGAGGTGGTGGGGGCGGGTCCCGTGGGCGGGGTTTTGCCCGTCTCCGCAGCTCTGTGGAGCCCGGAAAGGGGTGGAGCTACGGTGCGGGCGGCCACTTGGGGAGACGGCGAGGGGCGGGGCTGAGGCGACGGGACGGCCCTTTAGCGACTGAGGAGGGGGCTGTGGAGGCAGCCGGGGGAGCAGAGGCGCACAGGAGAGGTTGCGGGCAAGGAGGGAGGGAGGGCGCCCAGGCTCCGCGCGGCTCCCGCTGCTCTTGCTCTCGGGGGTCGGCGGGGCCCGCGCCCATGGCGGCGTCGGCGGCCCTGTCGGCGGCAGCGGCGGCGGCGGCCCTATCGGGCCTGGCGGTGCGGCTGTCACGCTGGGTCGCGGCTCGCGGCTCGTACGGCGCCTTCTGCAAGGGGCTCACGCGCACGCTGATCACCTTCTTCGACCTGGCCTGGCGGCTGCGCACGAACTTTCCCTACTTCTACGTCGTGGCCTCCGTGATGCTCAACGTGCGCCTGCAGGTGCGCATCGAGTGAGCCGCGGGGCCGGGCTGGGGTCCCGCATCCGCCCGCCCGCCGTGGCCCGGGCAGCCGCATGAAAGACTGCGCGGCCGCTGCGGAGGGAGGAGGGAGGCGGGCCGGGCCCGCGACTGTGGCCCCTGCGGGAGGACGGCCACCGAGCCCGGCCTGAATGCCCACACGTGCCGCCGCCGCGACATCGCACGGAAACTCACACAGGCCCGCTCATCGGCGACCTGTTGCCTCTGTGAGGCGAAAAAAAAAAGCGCCCTTTTGGAGAAAACAGCAAGTTGATTAGACTGGTCCAGACCCAAAAGGTAGGAGAGAGAGGGTGGATGCAACTGGGGCGGAGGGAGGCAGTGACGATGAATCTAGACCATAAGGCCTTGGGTGGTTTGGGGAGACACGCATGGAAGGTGGCGGGGAAAGCGGCGTGGAGAGCAGCGAGCCAGGAAAGGTAAGGCCAACGCCTTGTCCCCTACTCCCTTCCAGTGACTCTGAGATGGGGTGAGGGGCGACGGCATCAGCTTCCGGAGGGTCAACCTGCAAGGAGAGATGGGGCCTCCCTGCCACCCACGGCCCAGTTCCTTACCCTTGCCCCCAGAGGCCCCATGGTGTCATCTGAACGTGGGGGAGTGACAGCAGAGAGGGAGGCCGATAGGAAGGATGATCTGTTCTTGGCCAGACCCCAGATCTAACCCCCTTTGCATCCCTGGCCCTTCACAAAGCGGCCTCCCGCCTTGTCTCTGGGTCGGGGCACTGGGCTCTGCTTGTGCCTACTGCCACTTTTCCTGCCCCACCCCCTACCTGAGGGCACCCCCAAAGCTCTGTCTTTGGAGACTGGAGAGAGGGGGAAAGACTGTCCCTTGCCGCACAATTTGTCGTTCCTGCATCTCAGCACCCTCCCAGTGCCACAGAAGTCCACCCTCCAGCGTGGACAGCCCACTGTGGGCCTGTGGAGGGGGGAGGGGAGGTTCTCCTGGCCAGACAGCAGCGCCTCAGGCTGGGGCCAGGAGGCAGAGGGGAGGCGGAGGAGTAGAGGGCTGGAGGGACAGCACGGGAGGACACAAGGACTCTCTGGGTGGGAGGCAGCACCAAGTTTCCATCTCTTTTTCTCTTTCAGGAATGGGGGTGTGTAGGTGGTAACCCTCCCCTGCTCTGCCTGAGACAGCCAAATCCCTGCAGGGCCCCCCGGCCCTGAGGCTGCCCAAGGAGCAGCTGAATGGAGGCCTGACGGAGGCAGCCACAGAGGCCCAGCAAGCAGAGGCCGGGATAGGGCTGCCCCGTGATCCAGTTCTGGCATGAGGAAGGCCGGGACCCTGTGACCTGGACACTGAGGTCTCCTAAGCACACTTAGGACTGAGAAAGCTGGGGCTCTGGGGGGCAGGGAGGGGGAAGGGAGGGACTTGCCCCTTGTCACATGGATAGGAAGTGGGAAGCAGAATCTGCCCCTAGGCCTGCACTTCACCACTCCCCTCCCCAGGCACCTTGGGATGGGGGAGGGGAGCACAGGGCTCCCAGAGGCCCTAGAGAGAGAGGGGTCCAGGGGTAGGAGACCTGGGAGCTCACCTTCCTTGGGGTGGCATGGAAGGTCACGGGAAGACCAGGAGGACAGTCTGAGCTGAGAAGGGGGACAGGAGAGATGAGTCCCAGAACCCCCTTGGGAGCCAAGGGCCTCACCCCTAGTCTAGTTTCCCCACCTCACCCCATACTTGACCAAGGGCTCCTCAGTAGTTGGGTGGCACAAGCCACGTAACTTGGGTGGCGGTGGTGGGTTTGGACGGGGGTTGTGGCTCAGCTTCTGGGGACATACTGTAACCAGCAAGGTGAAGGGATAAACCCAGGGTGGGATGGGGCTGGGACCCGTGGTGTGACTTCTGTCTCTCTGTCCCCAGGCACGGCCCCCACCCCCAGGATCACACTGGAGAATCTCATCCAGGTGGGCTTGGCCTGGTCCTGGTAGGCCCTGGGTGTGCTGCTAACTGGCATTCCAAACTAGCCCGAGGGGAGCAGTGAGCAGCCCTGGCCTCCCACCCCTCCCTGCACCCACACCTCTGGCTCTGGTTGCTCGCAGCCCAAGTACTCAGAGGCCCTGGGATTGGGAACTGCAGCAGCCTAGGCAGCCCAGGGACAGAGAGGTCCTGTGTCACCATCTTCCCTCCTCAGCTGCCCAGCTGGAGACGAGGGCCTGGAAAAAGACCTCTGCCTGCCTCAGCCCGGCCCCTGCAGTCCCCACAGCCAGGGCCCGATGGCTTCCGTCCTTGTGCCAAGTCTCCTAGGAGCCCCCAGTCTGGGTGGTCCCTCTCACCCACTCCATCCAGGACCACTTTCGGGTGCTTCGCAGCCCACTGTTTCCATCCACAGATCTCCGAGGATGGGCAGCCTCGTGAGAGAAGAGTCACACGGGGCTGAGAAGGAGCGAGGGGCCTCTTGGGTCTGACCCACAGATATGGCCCTTTCAGACCCAGGCTTCCTCCTCCGGGTGACGAACCTCAGGTCCAGCCTCTTCCTGGACCAACCTGGAACGGAGAGCCCTGAGAGTGGCAAGCGGGAAGCTCTGCAGGCTAAGTGAGTGAGTGTGTGTGTGAGTGTATGTGAGTGTGAGTGAGTGTGTGTGTGTGGGTGTGTGTGGGTGTGTGTGGGTGTGTGTGGGTGTGTGTGGGTGTGGTGGGGACAGAGCTGTTTGCGGCGTGAGCTTCCTGTACAAGGAGCGACCTGGGGGCTAGCACACCCCTTTCCCTCCAGGAGAAATGTGTAGGGGCAGAGCTCAGGGGTCCCTGCCCTCAGCTCTCAGAGACCCCCCTCCACCTCTTGCAGGGAAGCCCCACCCCCTGCACAGGAGCCCAGGACCTGGGCCCTGGCCTTGGCTGTGGTGTCCTGGCTCAAAGGGAGTGGCTAGGGGAGGGACAGAGACAGTGGTGAGCATGTTAGCATCGTGTTCCTGCCCCCTGCTTTCTTACCATTTTGGCCTGGGCAGTTCCAGTGCTTCTGCTTGTCCTCCTCTGCTTTCTCCCCCCGGGGTCCTGGCTGCCTGAGGGGCTCGCAGTGCACTTTATTTATTTGCAGTCTGTTTTCCTGTTTTCCAGGGGTTTCAGACAGAACGTCCTGAATAAGAGGACTTTTGTTTTTCCTTGTGTGATTAACTCTGTACTGGTCAGCACAACCTGGTCAGAGAAATGTTCTCGTTTCTGCTGTTGTCAAATCTTGTTGACTCTTTAAATTATTTAAAAAAAAAAATCCTTGAATTCAGATAAAATATAATAAAAACTAGGCCTCCTGTTTCTGGTTGATGCAATAGCCCGGGGAAGGGGAGGGGCCAGTGGTGAGCTCACCAGCTCTGAAGGCCAGGACCTGGGGTAGGCCAAGGTGGGTCCCCAGAGCTGTGCCCTGGATGGGGCAGTGGGAGAGGGGGTGGCTGGGGCAGGGACACCCTGTCTGTTCAGAAGACACTCTGAGACCTGACTCAACTGGGACCCTGCCCCAGGAGAAGGCAGCAGAGGCCAGCCCAGAGGTGGCAATCTCCCATGCAAACTAATACCTAAGTCCTTTGTTCAAACAACCTAATAGCTAAGTCCTTTCTTCCATTTTAGAGGCTGGTGTTAAAAAATGTTAATTCTTTTGAACCCCAAGGGTGGGCGAGGGCTGCCTGAAGTGAAACAGCTGTCTGAGAACCCTCTGCAGCAGCAGGTGGTAAAGACCCCGTTGGCTCCCAGACATCCATGTTGGTGCTGAGTTGTGGGGAAGGTAAACCGCCCGGACTTGGGCACCTTACTTCCCTTCCCCCTACCTTAGACCCCAGCTCCGTTCCGTCAGAGCCCCACTCCCAGTGGCTCCTTAAAGAAGCCTGGGCAGGGACTCCTGGCTGAGACAGTGGTGAGGGGTGGCAAGCAGACGAGAAGGCTGGTGAGAGGCCAGGGAGTGTGGGTAGCAGGGCCCAGGACGTGGGCCCCACGAGGGAGGCCTCCTGAGGACACAGGGTTGTGGTCAGATGGAGGAGCACCAGCCTGGGGCTAGGGGCCCCCAGGGATCAGCAGTGGTGGCGATGCCCCATGGCACTGCCATCACAGAGGGATGGACCCCGGCCCTGCCAGGGTGCATTTTCACAAATAAAATTAGGAATATACTAATTAGAAACCTGCTTTCCCCCATCGTGTTTAACTTCCCATGTTATTAAGCGTGTTTCTCCATCAAAAGCTGCCTCGTGTTTCCTTGTAGGAAAGCGTCCCCATGCGTTTCCCTGCACCTGTCGGTTATTGCCCTTGACTGTTGTTGGTTCGTTGGTTGTTCGAGGGATTTGATGTTTTTGGTTGATGCTGAAATTTGTGGAAACCCTGGTGGTGTAGTGGTTAAGAGCTATGGCAGCTCACCAAAGGGTTGGCAGTTTGAATCCACCAGGCGCTCCTAGGAAACACTGATGGGCAGTTCTACTCCGTTCTTTAGGGTTACTATGGGTTGGAATCAACTTGACGGCAATGGGTTCGGGTTTTTTTTTGGTTGGAATTTTTTTTTTAAATTTGTTTTTGTAAATGATGCAGTGACAGATAAATTGGAATTGATCAAAATGAACAACTTTTGTGAATTGAAGAACACTATCAGGAAAGTGAAAAGACAACCTACAGAATGGGAGAAAATATTTGAAAATCATATATCTGATAAGGGACTTGTGTACTCAATTATAAAGAGAATGCTACTTAATTAAAAAACAAAGAGAGAGAACCCAATTAAAAAATGGGCAAAGGACCTGAGTGGACATTTCTCCAAAGAAGATAACAAATGGCCAACAAGCACATGAAAAGATGCTCAGCGTCATTAGTCATGAACCAAAAAAACCCAAACCCATTACCCTCAAGTTAAATTCAGACTCATAGTGACCCTATAGGTCAGAGTAGAACTGTCCCCATGGGCTTTTTCCAAGGCTGTAAATCTTAACAGAAACAGACTGCCACACATTTCTCCCTTGGAATAGCTGGTGGGTTTGAACTGCTGACCTTTCCTTTTAGCAGCCAAGCTTTTAACCATTTCGCCACCAGGGCTCTTTTCATTAGTCATCAACCAAAAACCAAACCCATTGCGGTTGAGTGAATTCCAATTCAAAGCTACCCTAGAGGACAGAGTAGAACTGCCTCATAAGGTTTCCAAGGAGCAGCTGGTGGATTCGAACTGCCGACCTTTTGGTTAGCAGCCGAATGCTTAACCACTGTGCCGCCAGAGCTCCCATTAGATGTTAGAGAAATGCAAGTCAAAACCATAATGACATACCATTTCACACACACTAAAATGGCTATAATTAAAAAAGAAAAGGACAAGTATTCGTGAGGATGTGGAGGAATCGGAACCTTCCTACACTGCTGGTAAAAATGTAAAATGGTGCAGTCACTGTGGAAAACAATTTGGCGGTTCCTCCAAAAGTTAAACATAGAATTATCCTATGGTCCAGCAATTCCAACCCTAGGCACATACTCAAAATAATTGAAAAGAGGTATTCAAACAAATACTTGTACATGTATGTTCATAGCAGCACTATTCTCAATAGCCAAAAGGTGGAAACAACCCAAATGTCCATCAGCTGATGAATGAATAAGCACAAAGTCGTCTGTCCATACACTGGAATGTTATTCAGCCATAAGAGACAATCAAGTACTAATGATGCTACAGTGTGGACGAACCTCAAAAACATTATGCTGAGTGAAAGAAGCCCTACACAAAAAGCCACAGATTGTATGATTCCATTTATATAAAATATACAGAATAGGAAAATCCATTAAAAAAAAAATTCGTTGCCGAGTCAACTCGGACTCAGAGCGACCCTATACGACAGAGCAGAACTGCCCCATAGGGTTTCCAAGGAGTGGCTGGTGGATTCAAACTGCCTACGTTTCTGGTTGCAGCGGTAACTCTTAACATCTACGCCACTAGGGCTCCATGCATGGGCTTGCTTGTGCATATTTACTGATCTGTAGTGAACAATTTCACACGTTTTTTCACCACATTAAATATGTGGTGAAACTCATGTGAAATTGTTCACTACAGATTAGTAAGTAAACACAAGTAAGCCCGTGCATACCTTGTTTATTAATATAAGCCTGTGCGCACCGTGCTTACTGGTTAATCCACCCCTGATTGTCTGTTATGTGAATTTCAACTCAGTAAAAAAATAACTTTGCTGACCAATATTTTTGTTTCATCATTAAGCCTCTTGCATAGATGAACTTCTCTCCTGGACTTTTCTTCAGCCCTTTACAGCCACGCCCCTGCCCCCATGATATTAAAAGTTCACCAAAGTAGCCCAT